AATTATATTAATACAGTATAGAAGGGAGACTTGATTTCACTGATGGGGAATGTGGGATGCTTCACTGAGGAAGTGATATTTAAAGTAAAACCTAATGGTTGAGAGAAAGTCATTTAGCTAGAGGGTGAGGGGGAATTGGGTGATAATGGGATGGAATTATATTCAAGGTGGAAGACATCCTCTGCTTCTGAATGCTGGGCTAGCTCTTATGTCATAAACAACATAAAACTAGAAAAAATGTGAGGAAGCTGTTATTAGGCATTGTACAAAAGGCAATACAAGACTATAAACCTTTGAGAGAAAGGAAAACATGAGACAAACTCCACGATTGCTTTGAATATCTGTCGGGGGATAACTTCCTGACTGTAGTACAGCAAGCTGGCATTGAAGCAGAGTGTGGTTGTCCAAGTGAGCCAAGGAGGCAGAAATCACAGGTTAGGACAGCGGAAGCAGTTGGAAACTGGAATCTTTGGGGTAGAATACCAAGAGGTATTAGGGCAGATGAATGAGGGACCCCTGAAGGTGGTTGGCTGAGGACGGAGATCCACCTGTACAGTATGAGACTGCCTCAGGCTTACTAGAGAGTCACTATAGAGTGACTGCTATCGGGTTAAAAGCAGAATAGTGACATTAGAGGTTAGGCAGTTTTGGGAGACATTGGCGTTTCAGCCCAACCAGACTGGAGAGACCTTGTTAATACCCCAGGTATCTAGCTGAGACACCTTAGAGTAAGGTCTACCCTAGGTCAGATTTAATGAAGCCTAAAACCCTGGCAGATTCTGCAATGGAGACAGAATTTAGAGATTATTTCTGTCACTTAAAAAAATTTTTTTTAAATGTTTATTTATTTTTGAGAGAGAGAGAGGGAGACACACAAACCAAAACAGATTCCAGGCTCTGAGCTGTCAGCACAGAGCCAACAGGGCTTGAACTCACAAATTGCGAGATCATGACCTGAACTGAAGTCGGACGCCCAACCCACTGAGCCACCCAGGTGCTCTGTCACTTTAGAGGGCCTTTTGAGAACCTTAGGCTTTCTACAGACCGGCCCTTCACAAATTTTAAAACCAAACCTTCATGAGTTTGTGATCAGGCTATTAATTGAGTAGTCCGCTAAATTAAAATTGATACTCTTCAAAGGAAGATAATAGAATTCAGAATCTTCTATAATATGTCCTTAGAATGTCCAGTATACAATAAAAACTACTAAACATGCAAGAAAATAAGTTGTGCACTATAACCAAGAAATAGGGCAGTCAATAGAAATTGATCTTGAAATGGTCCAGATGTTGGATTTAGCAGATAAAGACATTGAAGCATCTATTGTCAATACATTCAATAAATTAAAGGAAAATCTATTTAGATAACTAAAAGTAAATATGCTGTTAATGAGTGAAGAGATCAGGAATCTTAGCAAAGAAAAATAAACAAAAAGAAATTCTAGAACTGAAAATTAGTGTTGAGTGCAGTAATTGAGAAAATTTACTGGATAGATTTAGCAGCAGATTGGAGAGGGTAGAAGAAAGACTTAGTAAATTCGAAGACAGATTAATAGATCATTCTATCTAGAGAACAGAGAGAAAATACAACAGAGTTTTAGGGACCTGTTAGACTAAATTGGATCTAACGTGCCTATAATTGGAATCCCAGGAGGACAAGAGAGTATGAATGTGGCAGAAAAAAACATTAGAAAAAATCCTGACTAAAATTTCCCTAATTGGATGTAAAACATTGACTTACAGATCCAAGATGCTTAATAAACCCCAAATAAGATAAATATAAAGACTATCAGTCACACCTGGACACCTCCTAGATTCCATGTTGAAATATTTGTGGATGAGAATGAGCTTACTTTTTTAAAAAGGACTAAAAAAAGGTCTAGTGTTGAAATTAAATGAAGGTAGGGTGATAGTGACACCAATAAGGCTACCACATCAGGTTAGATCCATGGCTCTCATAGGCCATGTGATATTTTATGTGATATCCTGAATGTGTTGGGAATTCATGGAAATATATATATTTTAAATGTTTATTTTTGAGAGAAAGAGTGGGGGAGGGGCAGAGAAAGAGGATGACCGAGGATCTGAAGCAGGCTCTGTCAGCGCAGAGTACAATACGGGGCTCAAACCCACAAACTGCGAGACCATGACCTGAGCTGAAGTCAGACACTTAACCAACTGAGCCACCCAGGTGCCCCAAGCATGGAAATATTCTAAGCTTAAGAGTGACATGATCAGATATGTGTTTTGAAAAGATGATTTGCTGTTTTGCCAAAATAGATGGGAAGGGGCAAGAACAGAAAAGCTCTGCTATAGTAGCCTAGAGTAAAGATGATGGTAGCTTGTATTTGAGTTTTGGTGATAAAACTGGAGAGAGATAAATTATACCTGGTGGTCTGTTATTCTTCAACCTTACGCTGAAACTCAGCTGTTGTGAAAGAAAGCAGCAAATTGTTCTTAATCATTGTAAGAATGTATACCTTAGGAAAGATTTATGGTAATTGCCTTCTTTTATTTCCACAATTCCTTTTTAATTATTTATTGAAATTAAAAAACAACACAACAGAAATGCTTGAGTGATTTTTAGTGATGGAAATCACATTAAATTTTGATCAAGAAGTTTAAAATTTGCAGTCTAGCTTCACTGCTTATCACCGCTTGCTTACTCACTGGCTATGTTACCTTTGTAAGCCTCAGCTTCTTCACTTTTAAAAATGGTGATTATACATTCATTTTTCTCAGGCTTGTTGTGAAGGTTGGTAAAATACATTTTGTTATTTAAAAAGTATTACAGTATTACAGTATTAAAAAGTATTACACCTGGATGGCTCAGTCAGTTAAGCGTCCAACTCTTGATCTTGGCTCAGGTCATGATCTCGGCTCAGGTCATGATCTCGGCTCAGGTCATGATCTCACAGTTTTGTGGGTTTGAGCCCTGTGTTGGGCTCTGCACTGGCAGCATGGAGCCTGTTTGGGTTTGCACATGCCCACGCCCTTTCTCAAAAGTAAACTTAAAGTATTACAAAAATTTCATCCATCACGATTGAGAGAAATACATGGCTTTTATTACTCAGGAGACATGTAGTCATTTCTCATATAGGATGCTTAGAAGGTCTTTATTTTTTTTTTTTTTAATTTTTTTAATGTTATTTATATTTGAGAGAGAGAGACAGATCAGGGGAAGGGCAGAGAGAAAGACCAAGAAGACAATCTGAACCAGGCACCAGGCTCTGAGCTATCAGCACAAAGCCCAATGCGGGCTCGAACTCACAAGCCTTGAGATCATGACCTGAGCCGAAATCATGAGTGAGCTACCCAGGTGCCCCAAAGGTCTTTATTCTTTATAAACTAAATGTAATTGTTTGTGTTACACTAAATGTAATTGTTTTTAATATTGGACTTGAACTGAAGGATAGATGTATTCCTCTCTGTTTTAATAAGTGCTAGAGTGTTTGTTTTGTTTTGTTTTTTTTGTTTGTTTTGTTTTTTGTCTTTTTTTAAACCAGCCCAGAGAGACATTTAAAAAACTAAACTAGGGGCTCCTGGGTGGCTCAGTCGGTTAAGCATCCCACTTC